CGGTGGCAAGATCTTGGCTCATTGCAACCTCCACTCCCTGGGTTTAAGCGATCCTCCCACCTCAGGCTCCTGAGTAGCTGGGACTAGAGGTGCACGCCACCACACCAGGCTAATTTTTGTATTTTTCATAGACATGGGGTTTTTGCCATATTGCCCAGGCTGGTCTCAGAAATCCTGAGCTCAGGCAATCCATCTAAAGTGTTAGGATTATAGTCGTGAGCCACCATACCTGGCCATTTTTTTTTTGTTTTGTTTTGTTTTGTTTTTAAATAGACAGGGTCTTGCTTTGTGCCCAGGGTACAGGGCAGTGTGTGATCACAGCTCATTGCACTCTCTCAAACTCCTGGGTTCAAGCAATCCTCCTGCCTCCGCCTCCTGAGTAGGTGGACCTATAGGCATATACCACCACACCCTGCTAATTACAAACTTTTTTTTTTTTTTTGTAAGGACAGGGTCTTACTATGTTTCCTAGACTGGTCTTGAACTCCATAACTCAAGGGATTCTCCCACCTTGGCCTCCGAAAGTGTTGGGATTACAGGCATGAGCCACCATGACCAGCCCTGTGCTTCTTTCTTAAAATGGATGGGGATTCTCTTTCATATCCCTTTCATAGAGAATGGCAGTTTCCTAAATTATTTCTGTGCTGGCTAACAATTCTCTTTCTCAAGCCTGGTGCTTGGTTCTCGTAGACTCATTTTAACTCTGGAAAAAATAATCAAATTGGTATTTCCTGTTCTTAGGGACTTTTGTAGGCTTTTCCTTGTCAAGGCAGCAGACCCTGAAGGATGAGAGTTTAGGTGGGATTTGGGTGTTTTTTTTTTTTGCACTGGGTAGAAGTGGAGATACCACATTCATTCAACACTTACTGGGTGCCTATTATATACAAGAGCTGTGGTAAGAGCTTCACATATTCTGCCTAAATATTCTCAACAATGTTTGTGGGGTGGACTCTATCATTCCCATGTTGGAGATATAGACGCTGAGGCCTGGAACTTGAAGGGCCTTCTCTGAGGTCCCAAAACTAGAAAAGTATTTAGCCAAATTTTTTTTTTTTGAGACAGAGTTTTAGCTTTGTGCAGTGGCAGTATCATAGCAAATGAGGTTTATTCGAGGCGCGTACTGCTAATTGAAAACTTTTCCCAATACCCCACCATGACAACTTGAAATACAGTCGGCATTGGCAATTTTTGGCAATCTCTACAGGGACTGAATTACAAAAAAAAAAAAAAGAGAGAGAGAGAGATGAAATCTCACTCTGTCACTCAGGCTGGAGTGCAATGGTGGGATCTCAACTCACTGCAACCTCTGCCTCCCGGGTTCAAGCAATTTTCCTGCCTCAGTTTCCCTAGTACCTGGACTACAGGCGCCTGCCACCACACCCGACTTTTTTTTTTGTATTTTTAGTAGTGACGGGGTTTCACTGTGTTGGCCAGGCTTGTCTCAAACTGTTGACCTCATGATCTGCCCACCTGGGCCTCTCAAAGTGCTGGGATTATAGGCATGAGCCACCGTGCCCAGCCGAAAAGTATTTAGCCAAAATTTTTGTGTTAATGCATATATATAGCTTTCCAGGCTGATGGAGCTGGTTGTGTTTTGCAGTACCCAGAGGCTATACACCTGAGTACAGGCAGGAGCTACCCGGAGGATGATCTCTCAGGGCTTCCGAAGTATTTCTTCACTTTTACAATGGTAATATTACTACTTTATACAGTTATTGTGAGGTTTAAATATGGTACATAGGCCGGGTGCGGTGGCTCACTCTTGTAATACCAGTTTGAGAGGTCGAAGTGGGAGGGTCTGTTGAGTCTAGGAGTTTGAAACCAGCCTAGGCAATATGGTGAAATCCCATCTCTACAAAAAACAAACGAACAAAGAAACACCTCAAAATTAGCCAAGCGTGGTGGCGCATGCCTGTAGTCCCAGCTACTCGGGAGGCTTAAGTAGGAGGATCGCTTGAACCCGGGAGGTCGAGGCTCCAGTGAGTTGTGCCACTGCACTCTAGCCTGGGTGACAGAGCGAGTTCTTGTCTCAAAAATAAAATAAAATATTTAAAAATGTTATATATAAAGCATTTGGCATATATATAGTACATTCAATACGAGCTGTTTGTTACTGGTAATGATAAAGTGCGCCTGCCCTTTTGCTAATATGTAACGTCTTCATTGGGCTAAATCAGCCCGGATTCTAACTGTTCCTGCAGTCATTGACTCTGTGGGGCTGGAGACCTAGATCGATGGTCAGAGGCCAGCAGGAGGTGCAGAGGTCCGGATCAAGTGCCATTTCCCTCTCTAGAAGTACTCAAGCCCTCTTCTCTGCCCTCATCCCCGCCACCGCCTACCTCGACGCGGACGAGAAGCTGTGGCACCGCGACTGCTGGGAGGCCATGACCACGCGCAGGCGGGCAACCAGCACTTGCGGCCTGGGAAGCTGTGGTAGTGTACAGCCCGTCGCCATGGCGACCAGGCCCCAGCGGCCCTTCAGCGAGGGCGGAGTCAGGGAGCCAGCGTTCGCTGGCTGGGAGGAGAATAAAGTAGCGAAGGTGGACTGGGACCCGGCAGCGGGTGCCCTGAGAGTCAATAACTCAACCGATTTGACCCCAAGTACCAGATGAGGCCGGGGGATGAACAGAGTCCATGGGGGAGGGAAGTGTGCCTTGATGCCGGAGACGTTTTGCCGTCGGGAATTGTAGTTTTCGGTGTCTCGACGTCTCAATGGGACAGGCTTATATGGCTAGGAGGGTTGTACTACATCTCCCAGAACTCTCTACCAGCCCGAGTTGCTCCTTCTTTCAAGAGCTCTGGATTGTGGGATATGGAGTTCGGAATGTGGCAAGGCATGGCAGTGTTCAAAGAGGGGTGCTGGATTCTGACTCGGTTTCCCTGCGGCCTTGGGAGGCTCACGGGCCATTGGCTGAGCGGGGCGGATCTGGTTGCGCTCCTCCCCGCCCCCATGACACAATAGCAGCTCCCTCCAAGATGGCGGCGGCGACAGCAGACCCGGGAGCTGGGAATCCACAGGCTGGGGACTCCTCCGGCGGGGGCGCTGGGTGCGGGCTGCCGTCCCCCGGGGAGCAGGAGCTGAGCCGGCGCTTGCAGTGCCTGTACCCCGCGGTCAACCAGCAAGAGACGCCGCTGCCGCGCTCCTGGAGCCCCAAGGACAAATACAACTACATTGGTCTCTCCCAGGGCAACCTCCGCGTCCACTACAAAGGTATCGGCCCGTCAGGCTGCGGGGGAACCAGGCTGGAGAGCGTCCGTGGGGTGACTGTGCTGCCAGGCCCCTTTCCCATTACCTCCCTTTCCCTGCCTAGGTGCTCCAAGTTAGGCCTTGGCCCTTTCAGAATGTCCAGGGTGATGAGGCTGACCAGGCCGAGGGTTAACTGCTTGTTTTCTGTCCTGAGACACCAGCTGTCAAGAGAACCGCAACCGGTGTCCAAACCCAGTGCTGGGCCAGACCTTCCACTCCAGGGCCTCGTTGCTTGTCCTAGGCTGTCTCCAACTCCAACAGGACCCTTCGCCACTGCTTAGAAGGGGTGGTCACATCCCTACCATTAGGCTGAGGCTTATGGGCTTGCCCACCTGCCAGGCATCCCTGACTGGGTCTGGGGTTCCGTGCTAGAGTTTGAGAGGTGTCTTCCAGGTCGGCCTCCTCCCTCCCCTGGTCTTGCAGGTGGGCTTCCTGGATTCTAGAGAGGCAGCCAGCAGCACTTGGTTATCTCTCACATTGCCTATACCCTTGTTTTGTTTGTATGGACAGTGCCTTAGGCAGGACTGCTATTCTCAGGAGATGAGGCAAAGGTGGAAGGTTTATGTGTTTACTCAGTTGTCTAATGATTCCTTGGACTGTGTAAGTGCTTCCTCTGGCCACAGAGGAGTGGAGTTGCCATGGAGGAGCTGCAGAACAATGAGGCTTCCATTTGCATTTCCTTCTGCTGAAATTTCTTCCTTGCCCTCTCCTGTTAGGTCATGGCAAAAATCACAAAGATGCAGCCTCAGTGCGTGCCACCCACCCCATACCTGCTGCTTGTGGCATTTATTACTTTGAAGTGAAGATTGTCAGCAAAGGAAGAGATGGGTAAGCCCTTCATGACCACCCTCTTTCCCCTTACATGGAACTGATCCCTGTGGTCAGAGTTCAGGTCCCTTGGCTGGTACTTGTTGCTGATATGAGCTGCTGAGCTGCATGGGTCTGGGCTGCCTCTGTTTCCTGACTGTGGGCATGGTCTAGTCTAAGCAGCAGATCTTGATGGAAAGTGGGTGTGTTGCGGGTAAAGCAGGGGATTCTTTTTAGTGGTGATATAATTTGATCCTAGAAGATTAGGCAAACAAGTAATAAGTTTACTTTAAAAATTCTGTGTCCAGAATGGAGTTTCCCTCATGAGCATGTGGTGTTTTTGTGACTTCCTTCCTTTCACATTCTTGCTGTACTTATGAGGTTCTTTTTTATGGCATTGAGTCATGTAGAGGCCCTAGTAGCCTTCAAAGGGATAGTAGAGTTTTTGCAGCATTCATGAAAGCTGTTGTGGCCACTGGCCTGTCATCTCAGGGTAAACAGCATACACATGGTCAGAATCAGGTGACCTTGCTGCTCATAAACTTGTTTTTCAGTCCAAGGACTTGAACACTACTAGTTGGACCAGCTTTAGGAAGGTCCTCATTAAAGTCAGCATTAGGAGCCAGGTGCGGTGGCTCACGCCTTTAATCCCAGCACTTTGGGAAGCTAAGACGGGCAGATCATCTGAGGTCAATTCAAGACCAGCCTGGCAAACATGGTGAAACCCTGTCTCTCCTAAAAATACAAAAAAAAAAAAAAAAAGCTGGCGCCTGTAATCCCAGCACTTTGGGAGGCCTAGGCGGGCCGATCACGAGGTCAGGAGTTTGAGACCAGCCTGGCCAACATAGTGAAACCCTGTCTCTACTTAAAATACAAAAATTAGCTGGCGCCTGTAATCCCAGCACTTTGGGAGGCCTAGGCGGGCCGATCACGAGGTCAGGAGTTTGAGATCAGCCTGGCCAACATAGTGAAACCCTGTCTCTACTTAAAATACAAAAATTAGCTGGTTGTGGTGGCAGGTGCCTGTAATCCCAGCTACTCAGGTGGCTGAGGCAGGAGGATCGCTTGAACCTGGGTGGCAGAGGTTGCAGTGAGCTAAGATCACACCACTGCACTCCAGCCTGGGCAACAGAGTATGACTCTGTCCCCCCTCAAAAAAAGAGCATTAGGGGCCGGGCGCGGTGGCTCACGCCTATAATCCCAGCACTTTGGGAGGCTGAAGCGGGTGGATTGCGAGGTCAAGAGATCGAGACCATCTGGTCAACATGGTGAAACCCCGTCTCTACTAAAAATACAAAAATTAGCTGGGCATGGTGGCGCATGCCTGTAGTCCCAGCTACTCGGGAGGCTAAGGCAGGACAATTGCTTGAACCCAGGAGGTGGAGGTTGCGGTGAGCCAAGATCGCGCCATTACACACCAACCTGGGAAAAGAGGGAAACTCCGTTTAAAAAAAAAAAAAAAAAAAAACAGCGTTAGGGAGATTTCCTATTTTAGGGTGATCCAAGCAGACACAGAAAATCATAGGGGAGATATTTAATTTTTCTTTTTCTTTCTTCTCCCAGTCTCCCTTTTGTTTTCCAGTGATTGTGACAAAGCAGGTGTTTAAGTTATGAAATAATGGCCCCCTGATCTGCACTGTTGGGAGCCAGGCCAGCATCTAAGCTGCCTGAACTCCAGAATTCTATGCCTCTGAAATTCTCATCCTGGGAAGCTACTGCATCTCTCTCTCTCTCTTTTTTAATGAGATGGGGTTTTGCTCTGTCTTCTAGGCTTGAGTGCAGTGGCAAGATCACAGCTCACCGTAGCCTCAACCTTCTGGGCTCAAGTTATCCTCCCACCTCAGGCTCCTGAGTAGCTGAGATACAGGTGCCTGCCACTACACATGGCTAAGTTTTTTTTTTTTTTTTTTGAGATGAAGTTTTGCTCTTTTGGCCCAGGCTGGAGTGCAGTGGTATGATCTCAGCTCACGGGAACCTCTACCTCCCGGGTTTAAGTGATTCTCCTATCTCAGCCTCCCAAATAGCTGGGATTACAGGCATGTGCCACCATGCCTGGCTAATTCTGTATTTTTAGTAGAGATGGGGTTTCTCCATGGTGGTCAGGCTGGTCTCGAACTCCTGACCTCAGGTGATCCGCCTGCCTTGGCCTTCCAATGTGCTGGGATCACAGGTGTGAGCCACGATGCCTGGCCTAATATTTTTTTTTATTATTTGGAGAGATGAGGTCTTGCCATGTTGCCCAGGCTGGTTTCAAACTCCTGGGCTCAAGTGATCCTCCCACCTTGGCCTCTCAAACTGCTGGGACTAAAGGCATGAGCCACGACACCTGCTGTCTTACATTTTTATCCCCATCTAGCGCATTTACAGATAGGAAAGTTAAATTTATGGGAGGGCTTCGAAGCTCCTATTTTTTCCTTCCACCATCTGATAGAAGCACATGTATATTTAGCGTATGAACTAGTGTGAATGAGAATGACCTCTTAAAACGAGCACCTCAAAAATAATGTTGACTAAAATGGTAGTGCTGGAGTCTCATATTGCCAGAGAAACTGAGGTTCACTTCTTAAACTTGTAGGGAGGAAAATGTTTTTCTCCTAGTCTTTATCATAGATAACAGCTGAGCTAGTTACCTAGTTAGAGCGCAGAGACCAACTTCAGAAGGGAAGTGTTTACACTTAGAGACCTGGATTCTTTTTTTCTTTTTGTATTTTTTGAGAGATGAAGTCTGGTTATGTTGGAGATCTGAATTCTTTCAACTGGCTTTTAACATTTCAGTTTTAGTGGATCTTGCTGGAAAAGGTCCTGTGTCACGTTAGATTGGTGAACTGTAGGTATTGACTGAAATTCTAAAGAAAGGTGGGCATCGCCGGGCGCGGTGGTGTGTGCTTGTAGTCCCAGCTACTCAGGAGGCTGAGGGGGGAGGATCGCTTGAGCCCAGGAGTTCTGGGCTGTAGTGCGCTATGCCGATCGGGTGTCTGCACTAAGTTCGGCATCAATATGGTAACCTCCCGGGAGCGGGGGACTACCAGGTTGCCTAAGGAGGGGTGAACTGACCCAGGTCGGAAACGGAGCAGGTCAAAACTCCCGTGCTGATCAGTAGTGGGATCACCCCTGTCAATAGCCACTGCATTCCAGCCTGGGCAACATAGTGAGACCCCCTCTCTTAAAAAAAAAAAAAGGTGGGCATCTATTCCCAGCATTTTACATGTGGTAAACATAGCCATTGAGCTGACCTGGAAACATCAGTTTTATTTTATTTTATTTATTTATCTGAGATGGAGTCTCCCATATTACCCAGGCTGGAGAGCAGTGGTGCACTCTCAGCTCACTGCAACCTCCGCTTTCTGGGTACAAGAGATTCTCTTGCCTCAGCCTCCCAAGTAGCTGGGATTACAGGCATATGCCACCACGCCTGGCTAATTTTTGTATTTTTAGTAGAGATGGTGTTTCACCATGTTGGCCAGGCTGGTCTTGAACTCCTGACCTCAGGTGATTTGCCTGCCTCAGTTTCCCAAAGCGCTAGGATTACAGGCATGAGCCACGGTGCCCGGCAAGGAAACGTAAGTTTTAGAAAGGTCTCAGGTCATGTATGCCTGTGGTAGCCTGCATCAGTTGACCACTGTTAGATGGCAAGAGTATGAATAGCCCCTCATGGTCTCTTTACAGAATCCCTGAAAGCCTTCTCGTGGCTGGGATGCAGCCAGATGTTAGTATGGGCCAGGTGTGGTTTTGAAGAGGCCAAAGGCAGTTACACAGGGCAGGCAGATGTCAACTGGCTTATTTCCCTTTTCTTGTAGTGGTTTCTAATTTTTTTTTTTTTTGAGACAAGGTCTTGCTCTGTTGCTCAGACTGGAGTGCAGTGGCATGATCACAGATCACCGCTGCCTCAACTTCTTGGGCTCAGTTAGTCCTCCCGCCTCAGCTTCCTGAGTAGCTGGGATCATAGGCGTGTGCCATCATGCTTGGCCCATTTGCTTATTGTTTGTAGAGATGGGGTCTCACAATGTTTCCCAGGCTGGTCTTGAATTCCTGGGCTCAAGTGTGTCTTCCCCCTCAGCTTCCCAAAGTTCTGGGATTATAGGCATGAGCCACCATGCCCGGCTGATTTAAAAAAAAAAAAAAAAAAAAAAAAAAAACTATTTTGTAGAGATGGGATCTTGCTGTGTTGCCCAGGCTGATCTCCAGCTCCTGGCCTCAGGTGATCCTGTTGCCTCAGATGATCCAAAGTGCTGGGATCACAGGCGTAAGCCACCATGGCCAGCCTCCCGTGGATTTTGGAGGTGTGTTTTTGATCCTGGTTTACTCCATGACCCAACCATTAACTGGTTGTTTAGCTTTCCTTTCTTATCTAGTTTGATGCTCACAGCATCTCTGGCAAATGGCTAGAGCAGATAATAATGTATCTACCCATTTTGTGAGTGATCCCTGGGTCCCTAGGATGTTTGGCAGCCTACCCTGGCTGCAGGGCTTAGGGTGTGCAGTGGAGTAGCCTGACTTATCAGATGTCCTTGCCTGATCCTAGACACACATGTCCATGCTGCTGCCTTTCCCCATTGTAGCTATTGCATTCCTTCCCTGGGTAGATGAAGGAATGTTCTGTTGGATTCCTACTGGATTGCAGTGTTAGGGGACAGAGCTGAAAAGTGCATGGTGCTGTGAGGGGCTAGAGAATTATAGCATGCTCTGTACCGGGCTCGATCAACTTACTGTTCCATTTAATCTGTAAACTTGCTTTTCTGTAGATTTGAGTACACCTCCTTTGTAAAAGGTATTTATAAACCCAGTTAGTGTCATTGTTCTCTAGAGTGTCCTTTGTTCTGACAGTATCTTCTGTAGAAGAACACACTAAGCTAGTCCTTTTTTTTTTTGATTTTTTTATTAATAAGGGGGTTTCACCATGTTGGTCAGGCTGGTCTTGAACTCCCGACCTCAGGTGATCTGCCCGCCATGGCCTCCAAAGTGCTTGGATTATAGGTGTGAGCCACTATGCCCGGCCTAAGCTAGTCTTAATAAGGAAGGTT